CACACACACACACACACACACACACACACACACACACACACACACACACACACACACACACACACACACAGATCCGAAAACAGTATGAAGGCTGCATGGCCAGAGAAGAGAGTCGAGGTGGCAGCCGGTCAGGGCGGCGGAGGAAGAGAGGAGGGAAGAAGGGGAGGTGCCGTAGCGAAATAGGGTTGCAGAGGAGCGGAGGGGGAACGGTGGCGGCAGGGGGGGAAGGGTGGTTGGATGAGTCGGGTGGCGTAGGAGCAGCGGAGGGCAAACGAAGACGGGAGAGGGGGGGAAGTGATTTGGGGAGGGAGCCATGGCACTGACCTGAGGGTTCCATCTTGCAGCAGCATTCAGTCAAGGACAACTCCTCCACCGCACACCACAGCTCACGGCGCACCACAGCACCTGGCCAACCTCAGGTGAGAGGGAGATAGGGATAGTGTGTGTGTGTGTGTGTATGTGTGTGTTGTCATGTTTGCTATATAACTCCATTAAAATAGCATGACTGTGCCAGACTGTTTGCAGCAGCATTCAGTCAATGACAACTCCACCGCACACCACAGCTCACGGCGCACCACAGCAGCTGGCCAACCTTAGGTGAGAGGGAGATAGGGATAGTGTGTGTGCTTGTGTGTGTGTGTTGTCATGTTTGCTATATAACTCCATTAAAATAGCATGACTGTGCCAGACGATTCACCGACTCGTCACGAGGTTTCATCCCAGACAGTCTGCCCAGAATGCATTTGACTGATGGATAAGGAGTCACCACGCCACCGAGCTATACACTAAAAAAATAGCATGACTGTGCCAGACTGTTTCGTCGGACTTTCACCGACTCATCAGGAGGTTGAACCTCAACAGTCTGTCCAGCGTGAAAGAGAAGCAGAGAGCAAGAGAGAGAGTTGGGCACCGAGCAGCAAGGTCCACAACAGCAAGCAAGGCATACACGACACAGCGCGAGGCAATACCCAGCACGCACTACGGCAAACAACATGGACGTGTACGCGCAAATCTCAGCAAGATATGGCGCGATGCAGTTGCAACAGACAGAGGAGCGAGGTACCCAAAGTTGCCTGCGAACTGGGCCGTCGGGCAGTACGCCCCGACGTACCGGGCCGAGTGCCTGGATCTACGCGCAGATGGCATCAATCCAGGCCGTCGATCTGGAAGGAGCCGAAGTTCTGGATTCCTGCGCGATCTTACGACTTCACGTCGATCCAGGCCGTTGGGCTGGTAGGACCCGACGGCCCGGATTCAAGATTTACTACATCGTTCCGACGATCCAGGCCGTGAGCCTGTAGGACCAACGACAGCCTGGATCTGAGATTGGTTCCCTTAGCAATTTTAATAGTGTAAGGATTCGAGCTACCGCACGTGAATCAGGACTCTATCCTGACCTAACGCGCGAAGGGAAGGTCGATCAATTGATTGATTGATTGAGTGAGTGATTGAGTGATTGATATATCATATGATTGATTGATTGATTGCTTGCTTGATAGATTAGGTTCACCTAATTAATCCCCATTTGCAATTTTCAACCTAACTGCCGATTCCAAAAATTCTGTTTTCAAATTCCGTCTTCGACAGTTTCGACCTAACTGCCCATCAAAATTTGCTGCGCATACTCTCATCTGAAATATTCCGAATCTGATTTTTTCTAAATTCAGAATTACCCGAACTTGCGGAATTTTTTTTTGCAGTTCAATTATTCTTTTTATTCGTTTCTCTGATTATCTGCAGTCTGAAATTCGATATGTTTTTTAATTATTTCAATTTTGGGATTTTGGGAATTCCGAGACCTACCAAACTTGCCATTTCGATTTTTTTTACTTCTTTTGGAAATGATTTTTATTGGCTCCTTATCTGGGCAATCAGTGTGACCCCTTGGGGGCGCGGAAGTGCTGGTGCATTACATCCTCCCCTCTCTCACCCACCCCCATCTGCACTGCTGTGTTTCTCTATCCCCCCCACCTGTCTTCTTCTACTGCTGTGGCACGGGTACGTTGCCACAACAGCAGGCCACATCAGCAGCAACACGTCAGCCGACAGCCGTGCCACGTCAGCAGCCGATCAGCGCCACGCCAGCAGCAGCTAGAGCCTGTCTCTTATACACATCTAGATGTGTATAAGAGACAGGCGCCACGCCAGCAGCAGCTAGTGCCGCGTCAGCCTCTCGGGCGACAGCTGCTGCTGACGTGGCCGACAGCCGTGCCACGTCAGCAGCCGATCAGCGCCACGCCAGCAGCAGCTAGTGCCGCGTCTGCCAGTAGTCACCCGCTCAGACGGGCAACATGGAACGCAAGCAAGGAGAGACTGAGGAGGCCTACGAGGCCCGCATGTTGGACCAGCTAGCCGAATGGAAGAAGAGGGCAGATGCGGCCACCGCCGCCAGGAGAAAGGCGGAGGCAGAGCAACAACATCGTCTTGCGGAGGGACAACGACAGAAGCAAGACCCAGCAGCAGCGAAGGCTG